ATGCTGACGACCAGCGAACTCTTGTCAACAAAAGTGCAGCCCACCTCTGGCTTCTACCATTCTGAGCAAGCTTGGATCTGTATCTCTTTAGCTTTTACCCACCAGTTTAACCAGCAAAAAAAAAACAACCTGGCAAAAACCTTTCTACAACATATCACAATCACCGTTACTAAAATATGTTTAAAATGCACCTGGCAGATGACTGTTTGATTAAACAGGCTTTGTACTTCATTCAAAATTAAGGCCTCATTCAATACTACTTCCTAGATTGTGAAGCTGATCATTAAGGGACACTGCAACTTTTGCAGAACTAGTCAATCACTGCTTTTTCCTCTCTGATTAATTGCTGTTCATCAGTAATATTTCCCTCCTCTCACTTAGTCCAGGATCAATCTAGCTTAGATGAAAAATATTGCCAGCTATCAAAAGCAAGCATATAACTTAGTTTCTTTAGCCAGCTTTAGTGTAATGCAAATGTAGAACAACAGCATGGAACAGAAAATAGAGCTTGATGTTTCAAAGAATAAAACCACAACATAGCAGGTCTATTTGCTAAATATAAGCAGATCAATATAATTGTCTCCCACCTCAATTCAAGTGCTCTAAGAGAATATCAGAGCTGATAGCATCAAAAGTCAACATAGTTGACCAGGTATATAGCCCATCTTTTTCCTGATACAATTTGGAAATATCTGGAGATGTAATGCCACTTATTCAAATACTTGTTTAATGAACACTTGTTCACTGACAAAATATACAATGGCAATGAACAAGTGAAAGTTATAACTGGTCCTCAAAAGTTCAAACCATTGCAGCGTTCCCACGGTTTCGTGATCGTGATCTGGATGCTTGGCAACTAGCTCACAATTAAGACATAAATGTCCCAAACTCATAGGATCACCATTTGCGACTTTCTTTGCTGACTTCTTACGAAGTCAGTGGGGAAGCCGGCAAGAGATTGCAAATGGTGACTATGTAGCCTTGCACTTAATAATGTTGTGGGATTCATTTAACAGCAACTGCAAGTGGCAGGACTGCTGTTGCTAAGTGATGCAGTCACATGACATATTTTACAACTTCATTGCTTAGTGATGGAAAGTCCAGTCCCACATACCTTTCTTAACCAAGAACTATATGTGTGAGTTATTTGAAGGGAGAAGAGTAAACAATGGTACTTCAGAGTATTTTCCTAGGTTCAGAGAGTTTCTAGCAAAAGTCATATGGGGGTTACCAGAGCTGGTAACATTATTATCGATGAAAAATTCCCATCTCCCAACAAGGTCTTGCTTTGGAAGAGGCATTGCACTCAGATCTAAAAAAAAATATAGTCCTCTGTACACCAATTCTGATCTCATTACTTATTGGCTTCCGTGCTAATTCAATTTTCATTTCTAAAAACAACACATTAGATGCAATGTTACATTTGACATTTTATGTAATTTAGACCTAAACTGTAACTGAATATTTTTTTCAAATTCAAAATGCTTGATATTACAAAGTAACATGCTCTGATACTTATAACTAGCTAAACTCACCTATAAGACCCAATTCAATTTGTTTAAATTGCACTAGGGTGCTATTTGTGAAATGTACATTTGTTTCTCCATTGTCACTCAACATAGGATCTAAAGTGAGATTTAGGCTTGATTAATTTGTATGTCTTTCTCTACTTACATTCTGCATTTCAAATTATCTTACTTGTTTTATTACTCAAACTTTCCTAGTTTTATGAATTTCAGATAAGCAGAAGAGACACCTAGGATCCACTATATTTTCTACCAACAATAGAATATGCATACTGTATCAACTGGAAGCTCCTCCAAGGATTCAAAAAATGTTAAATCGGATGTTTTTCCAATTCTGTAGTCATATGAACAATTAGCTCTTAGCATTTTCTACATCTTAATTAGCTCTAACATATGGAAAATCTCTAAAGGAAACTTAATTCTTGCAATGTGAAAAAGAGTGTCTTTTTACTTCATGTCTTTGGGGAAATACCTCTCTCACGAAGTAACAACCTACTTTCAAAAGGAATAATATTTTCTGGGTCTAGTTATATGCACACAACTGAATAGTGCAAACAGAGATGAGGCTATAGAAAGAATTCTGTTTTCATAACTGAGATTAAGAGCCGTCTGTATTGTAGAATCATCACAGAGGTACTGACATTCAATACATCTCTTGCTGAATTCTAGGGGGGGAAAAGAAGATGCCGAGAGTTGTAAAGTAAACTTTATTTTTGACATTATAAGCTGAATCACATGTACAAGATATTGGAATTTTTATTACAGCAATTCAGAATACTCTCACTTCTTTTATGTTTGCCAAGAGACCTAGGCACTGTACTGTAGACATTTGATAACATTTTAGGAATGTCTAATGTTCTGCAGTTTCTCCTTTCAGGAGAGGCATGGGAGTTGTTGATGTATTCAATATTATATGAAATAAAATCAATATAACCATATAAGAAGTATGAAATAAGTATTAGAACAATGTAAGTAAATAGAGGAGGAACAATACTTTAGCTGAAAATGCTCAGTGGTATGTCCTAGTAGGCCAATGTTCCTGAACCATGGCAACTTTAAGATCTATGGACTTCTCCCAGAATTCTCCTGTCAGTAGAATTTCTGGAAGTTGAATCCATATAACTTAAGTTGGCACAGTTGATAAACGTTGACCTTGGTAGTTGTAATACCACACTTTTCAACATCTTGTTCTCCCACTTATCATATACATAGGAAGTATTTGAGGCCTGTGGAATGATTGGGACGTTCTCCTCCAATCTAGGGGAAGGATAGAGAAGCCTAAATGTGCCTTCTTATTTCCCTAGGTGTGGATGGACCTCAAGAAACAGAAGTGCAGCCCAAGAGAACAAAAGAAAGTTCATCTAAGTTTTGTTGATGTACATGCATGCTAGACCAGGACCACACCCTTGAAAACCTATAGTTTACTTCTTAATTCATTATACACTGCTCAAAAAAATAAAGGGAACACTTAAACAACATAATGTAACTCCAAGTCAACCACACTTCTGTGAAATCAAACTGTCCACTTAGGTAGCAACACTGCTTGACAATCAAGTTCACATGCTGTTGTGCAAATGGAATAGACAACAGGTGGAAAGCATAGGCAGTTAGCAAGACATCCCCAATAAAGGAGTGGTTCTGCAGGTGGTGACCACAGACCACTTCTCAGTTCCTAGGCTTTCTGGCTGATGGTTTGGTCACTTTTGAATGCTGGCGGTGCTTTCACTCTAGTGGTAGCACGAGACGGGGTCTACAACCCACACAAGTGGCTCAGGTAGTGCAGCTCATCCAGGATGGCACATCAATGCGAGCTGTGGAAAGAAGGTTTGCTGTGTCTGTCAGCATACTGTCCAGAGCTTGGAGGTGCTACCAGGAGACAGGCCAGTACATCAGGAGACGTGGAGGAGGCCGTAGGAGGGCAACAACCCAGCATCAGGACCGCTACCTCTGCTTTTGTGCAAGGAGGGACAGGAGGAGCACTGCCAGAGCCCTGCAAAATGACTCCAGTGGGCCACAAATGTGCATGTGGCTGCTCAAACGGTCAGAAACAGACTCCATGAGGGTGGTATGAGGGCCCGACGTCCACAGGTGGGGGTTGTGCTTACAGCCCAACACCATGCAGGACGTTTGGCATTTGCCAGAGAACACCAAGATTGGCAAACACACCACTGGCACCCTGTGCTCTTCACAGATGAAAGCAGGTTCACGCTGAGCACATGTGACAGACATGACAGAGTCTGGAGACGCCGTGGAGAATGTTCTGCTGCCTACAGCATCCTCCAGCATGACCGGTTTGTCAGTGGGTCAGTAATGGTGTGGGGTGGCATTTCTTTAGGGGGCCGCACAGTCCTCCATGTGCTCTCCAGAGGTAGCCTGACTGCCATTAGGTACCGAGATGAGATCCTCAGACCCCTTGTAAGACCATATGCTGGTGTGGTTGGCCCTGGGTTCCTCCTAATGCAAGACAATGCTAGACCTCATGTGGCTGGAGTGTCAGCAGTTCCTGCAAGACGAAGGCATTGATGCTATGGACTGGCCTGCCCGTTCCCCAGACATGAATCCAATTGAGCACATCTGGGACATCATGTCTCACTCCATCCACCAACGCCATGTTGCACCACAGACTGTCCAGGAGTTGGGGGATGCTTTAGTTCAGGTGTGGGAGGAGACCCCTCAGACCACCTGCCACCTCATCAGGAGCATGCCCAGGCATTGTAGGGAGGTCATACAGGCACATGGAGGCCACACACATTACTGAGCCCCATTTTGACGTTTTAAGGACTTTACATCAAAGTTGGATCAGCCTGTAGTGTTTTTTTCCACTTTAATTTTGAGCGTAACTCCAAATCCAGACCTCCATGGGTTGCTAAATTTGATTTCTATTGATAATTTTTGTGTGATTTTGTTGTCAGCACATTCAACTATGCAATGACCAAAGTATTTAATAAAAATATTTCATTCATTCAGATCTAGGATGTCTTATTTTTGTGTTCCCTTTATTTTTTTGAGCAGTGTAGTATGGATGTTCAGTTTTGTAATTGCCCTGTTATACCTCTAGCTCTTGTAAATCTATTATGAATGTAATAACTGCAGAAAGTCAATCATGGAAAACAATGCTATGATTTTTTTAAAAAATTATCTTTACCTATTTACTTATTACAAAATTTAATTTTGGGGCTTTCCAATTCTTTGCATTTTTGTCATGTATTCTTAATGGAAATTGGAGACTATTCCTATTGTTGCAAAATTATTAACTTTATCTAAATGAATTCTACAGCTCCACATCTTCAGAATTTGTACAGAAGTCCAAATGTTTAATTCTAGTCTATAATATGTTCTAATATTTTATTTTACAAACAGAATTGTTTTAAAAATTATTAATAAGATTTAATATTGTTATATTCCTTCTGATAACACTTATCATTTCTTGCCTTTTTTTAAAAATAAACCATGCTTTCAATTTTTTTTTTTTACAAATATAATTGCAAATTTAAAAAGTTGGGACAAATCCTTTTATAATTTCCATAATAGGTGCCATTGTTTTACAGCAGAATGGTGTAAGAATCTGTGCAAATAAGAACTCCATTTTTTGATAGTAAGTATACAGTAAATGAAAATGAACCTCCATCCTTCACATTCAGAAGACAAAATTTATACCACAATAAAAAAAGTGCACAACATGCTAAGATGTAGAGAATTATTACAATTATATGTTGTGTTATAACTTTGTTTTAGAAGAACCACCACTATGGAATGCAGCACAGTCTTAATCCTTGCACATGACAGGCAACTTCACAGCCACAACATTCCAGTTCTTTAGAATAAGGAAAGAGATGCAGTGAAGAACTACTGGGTTTACTTGATAGTTCTTTCAAAACTTGAAAGTTTCTCATGGCAGTGTCCATATAAGAAATGTAAATAAGTAAATCTATAAACAGCATTTACAACATACCATTGCAGTTTAAAAGAACAACATATAATATCACAGTTTCTACGCCCACAATTGTCAGATCATGGATAACTTTTAATTCTACACAATGTACAGAAAGGTATGTAAGGAGTTGGATGCTAACTTATGGCAAACAACATTTGACGCATCTAGGAATCTGTTGTGCATAAAATCTTAGCTTGCATGCGGACTCTTGCGAAAATCTGGATTTTATAGCTATTATTAAGAAAGATCCATTTTATTGAAAAAAATACATAAATCCATCTTGGCTCAGGTGATTTAAATTTCCTGTAGTTAATACATTAAGGTTAGTTGGATAAACAAGAAACCATGTTCAGTATCATGCCCTTAATATAATATTTTTGCCTTGGCTGATTAGAAAAAAAAGACTATTCTACAACATAGTCCTGAAAACAATCCAGATGTTGAGGTTTTTCTTTGGCCAGAAATTGTACATCATTTAACAGACTAAGGATGAACCAGTTTTTCTTTGTCTTCTCAAAGAGGATATCTTGGAATATGAAATTTTTACCGTGATTTAGATTTTAAAAACTAGTTCCCTAGAATCTCCTATCCCCTTGCTTTTTTTTCGAGGAGGAGGTAATCTGAACTCCCCATTATCTCCCACTGGCTTCTATTGCAGCTGTGTACAAAAATGAGTCAAAGAGCCACTGTGCTGATAGAAGGTTAAACAAATATGCAGGGACCAATGCTTCCTTCTCTGCATAAAACTGTCATTTTCCCCTTCTCAAGGAAATATACAATAGTAGCAATGAAATTCAGGTTAGGTTAAGGTGGGCCAAGAAATAAGAAGACTAAGGTTAAGATCAAGATGAGTGAGGAAAACTGAGCTCTGGGATATTCAGAATTTCGGGTTGATTTTTGGTTGAGGGTAAGAATTTCTGAATCTTTCTTCTCCTTCTCCTCAGGTTCCTATAAAGGAAGGGAGACAGAGAAAGAAGGAAAACATTAAGTTCTGATTGGATATATCTCATATAAATTCTCTCTTCCTCCCCTTTTTTTCCTGTTGGATGTTCTGGAGGCCTCTTTGGGTCAAAGGTGAAAATCTCTCAGAATATATTTAACTGAAAGCTGGTAATTTTACAGTCATATAATATCTCTGAGTTCAGATATCGTATTGTTTAATTAACATAATTACCTTACCTGATACAGTTTTTCAGTGAACATTGTGCTGGTGCCATCTCCTTGAATGTCTGAGGAAGGGGTGAATTGAGGCTGGTCCTGCACCTCCTTATTCTTTTGGCCAAGATTCATCTGATATTGGATTGCCTTATCTGTGACACAGTGAACATGGAGTGTTCAGGATCTCTAACTGCTCATACATCCATTATACAAATTTTGAGCCATGGGCTGAAGGCTCTAGCTTTAGCAGAGTAAATATGCTGTGCATATTTTTTCACAAGTCTCTATCAAAAATTAGCAGTCATTTTCCATACTTCTTTGGCTACACAGAAACCTGCAGTTTCTTTATTCATCAATTTTTGGATTTAATGCAAGAGCATTTTGGCAATTAACTCACTGTAAATTGCTCTTGATCAAGAAAACTATCCCAGTGTAATATATCACCAGGCTTGGCAGGGATTAGAATTTATCAATCAAGCTCAGGCATATGGCTTTCTTCCCTTCCAAAGAAGATAAGATAATTTAATAATGAATCATAATTAAAAATTAATCAAGAAGCACAAATAACTTTTTTTCATAAGCATTTTTTTTCCAATTTAAAAAGGTGAACACTAAGAATTGAAACCAATAACCTCACTTTTACAATAGTGAAAAATATTTATCTTAACAAGGCTTAACTTTCTAAACTGCGTAAGTAACGATGGGGAAAGAAAACAAATATACTTGTAGTGCTCAGGTGACTGTCTCTTTCCAGTATCAGCAGAAAGAAGAAGTTGATGCTTACTGAACCATCAACTTCTCTTACTGAATGCAGATATATTAATAAAGTAACAATTATTAATTGTAATTAATGAGATAAAGATACAATACACAATATACTGTATATTGCTTATTGCAATATATTGCATCCGAATAAAAGTCTAGTTTCAAATTTTCTTTCCAAAATATGAAAGAAATTAAAGGCATTGGATAAGTTGAAACTAGGGAATGAAGGCAAGAGCAACATATTTTTTTATATTTTCAATATTCCTTGAGATTGCAGCAAGGTCTAAATGTAAAAAAATGAATAAATCTCATCTGAAGTCTCTGAATGTGGAATCCTATTTCAGTATCCTAACAGTACCAGGCAGATCTGTCCTCCATGAATTTCTCCAATCTTTATGAATATCTGTCATGAACCTGACCACCATTGAAAGACTGGTGGGATATACACAGTGGTGGGGTTCAATTTTTTTTTTACTACCGGTTCAGTGGGTGTGGCTTGGTGGGCGTTATAGTAGGATACTGCAAAATCTCCATTCCCTGCCCACTCCTGGGGGAAGGTTATTATAAAATCCCCATTCCCTCCCTATCCCACTAACCTGCTTTCCAGCTCCGTTCTCCTGTGCAGGGCAACAAAAGACCCAGCTGACCCAGGTGGGACTCGGGAGGCAGAGAATAGATGGGGGCAGGGCCAGTCAGAGGGGGTATTTGCTGATTCTCTGAACTACTCAAAATTTCTGCTACCGGTTCTCCAGAACTGGTAAGAACCTGCTGAATACCACCTCTGAGATATACATGGAGTATTTATTAAAATCTTCTAGCAATAACTTTCAAATTTAATTTTACACTGCATAGTGTAAAATTAAACTTTCATTTCTCTATGGAATCCTCTGCCAATCTATTTCATTGTGAAACTTTTTGGGGTTAGAAAAATCAAGATCCACCCCTGATATTCATATTCAATATTGACTTACTGAGGCACTTGTTTCTGGAAAATAAGTTAAAGATTTGATCACAGTCCTCTTTATTATTGCCACTGTTTGTGCAGGAACACCAAAGTGTGATCTCAGTACTGGAATTGCTCACATAATTGGGGGTCAAAGATGTACCTGTTTCAAATAAAGCAATAAAATAAAATCAGACAACCCAGAAGAAAGTAGGTCAGGTGTTGCTGCCAAGAAAGCTACATAGATGTGTTCATGAAATTACAAGGTAATTTTAATAGTTTTAAAAGATAGTTTTAAGGAATCAAGATAGTTTTAACAGAGATTTACCTTTTAATTCATAAACCAAAAAGGCTGAATACAAAACCACACAACTATTTTCTTTAAATGTGCAATAAAGCTGGTGAATGACTTTTTAGCCAGCACCCTAAGACTACATAATTCTGATCTGGAAATAAGCTGGTTTCAATAAACTTCCTGCACCACCTTTTTGTTAGAGAAATTTCAGTCCATATAGTGTATTGATCGTCATTTAACTGCCTGTGTTGGGGATATTCTACAGTGAGACATTAAGGACTATTATCAAAGATTAAAGCATAAGTCTTGCTAAAATAAATTAAAAGATGTATTGATTTCAGCACCCTGTTGCTAGAGGTAACTAGGCAAAGGATTATAGAAATAGAGGTGTCTATGATAGGAGTATGGAGACCCGTTTGGACAGCACTGGTGAAAGTCAGAAAACATTTCCCAATAAACTCCATCAGATCCAACACGTACCAATCATCTTCATGTAAGCCTGCAGGCATGCTGCATAATTCAGTGGAGAGCAGCCATCTGTGAATGCCTGTAACGATTTGCATTTTTCTTGGAAACCAGCCAGCCGGGATCTGACAGGAGACACAATTATCAGAATGACAAACCCCTTTATTAGCCCAGAAATTATTTATTAGTTTTTCCAGTATTTGATAGGGTAAATCAAAATCAAGCAATTTTTTTAAAGTGGGAAGTTGCACTATATTTTCCCCCATTTTCATAAAAATAATGAAGGATCTTAGGGATTGTAGTGAAACACTGCTGTCACATGGGTGGACATGATACTAAACCCCTTGTGGCCACTTCTGGATGGGTTGTGTGAGCATGTGTACTTTTTAAATAGGTACATCACGCCTATCAGAATTGTAACACATCCATTTTACTAATCTTATAGACATTAATATTCAGATGCCCATATGCCATGAAACTTATTCAGATAATTATTCCATTAGACCCACCTGCAGACATTATCCTTGAGGCAGGCGTCCAGCAAGAAGAGGCAGTTGGGCTTGCTGCTACTCAGGAAAGAACAATCTGGGACAATGGTTTTCCAGCGTCGTTCCCCACAAGATTCGTCTTGGCAAGGACAAAACAGGAGCCTCTTGGTGAAATCAACACCAACCTTCTCAAAGAAGTGCCTCAGACTTCGGTGGCATATGCGTTGGTCACAAGGGTATCCTGTACTGCAGGCCTGAGCATACTGTGAGCGCTGACGCATGCATTTGTGGTCCAATTGGCAAACATTAGCAGCAAGCAGGCAGGCATTTGGGCTACCTTTGGTTCTATGGGAACCTATAAATCCATAGAAACACAAGGAAACACAAGGAAGTAACAGTAAACTCCAGAAAAGATTTGCCAAAGGAGATTAAACAAAAACTGCCAGAATTCTGACAATTGCCAGGATCTCTCTACAATTCAAAGATGAATTCTTTTTCTGTTTAACTCATCTCCTTTTCTTTGTGTTTTATATTATGTCAAAGCTCCTTGGGACAACTCTGTAAAAGTGCCATACACACCACTGGCTTAATTAAATAAATTGTGAAATAAGAAAAAAATAAGTGGGAATGTTTGAAATAATGCCTCTTCCTTCTGCAAACCTATAATATTTATTGAGTGAATTGAGAACTGCATGAGGAAAGTAGGTTCTTCAGTGTTCAACATTTTTGTCAGTAGTCTGAACAATAGTTAGTTGAAGTTATAGTCAGGTGGATAAACTGCTGGAGTTGGCAACATGCCACCGATGGGCAACATATCCTCTGGACTTAGATGATTCTGCAGAATAAAAGAATTGGGCTGAGAAACGGTTGTTCTTCAATTAGCTAGTTGAAAAGGAAAAGGTGTCTGGGGAATATTCTTTTGGAAACTGGAAAGAAGAGCAGAAAAAAAAAATCTGAGAATATAATAAGATATAATTAGATGTAATAATCTTATGTGCGGAGATTATAAAGTGAGGGATTTGGAAGATACTGTACTTTTGGTTTTAGGTGGCATCTTGTTTTGCATTGATTGACAGTAGGAGATATAATTATGGAGACGTTTTATGGGTAAGAATCTGATTTTGGAAAAAAATAATTAGAGATTAATTAGAGTGGAGGAAATTTGGCTTCTCTTTCTGTGAAAGTAATGGTTTTGGTTAGAGTAGAAAACTGGGGGTTCAAAGAAGTGTCTTTGTCTGCCTCTATGTCTTAATGTTCTTGAAGCTACCTTTAAAATTGCTTGTCAAATTTTTGCCTATATCTCAGATTTACCTTACATGCAATTTATAGGAAAAAAGAGGCCTGAATTTATTTAACTTCTTTGTAAGATTTTTTTACTACCTTAGTCCTAAGGGATTATAGGCAGTATGCTAAAGATTGCGAATGGTTGATATAAATTCTACCTGAGACACGAGTTGCCAGCTTGTTGTATTTTGTCTTCACAGCTTCTTTGTTTGCTATATCTCTATGGGGAAGCACCTCCAAATGAAAGTCATCTGTACAACATAAACAAATATAATTTTATCTGCTAGAGTACTAAAAGGTTCCCAAGAGATTATGAGAAACCATTATCTAAAAACAAGAGTTTTAGAAAATGGGCTTGCCTGATCACAGCAAAGGTACATTACACAGTTTACACAGTGAACAACACAGTTAGTTTGGGAGGCAAACATTATAAAAAGACAACTGGTCTGTATATTAACGTTATTAAATGTAATAATTGCTAATATCAGACTATAATATATGGTAGAATTATGCTCAAAGTTACTATTTATCTAAAACAAACAATATGAAGCAGTGTAATGTTTTAGGTTCTTAACATAGATTCCAGAATAAAATTGTTTCAATTATTTGTCTTCACATTATATATGTAGGACACATATCCGTGCTAATTGTGGTTTAGATCATGAAGTGTTGGTGGTGAAGGTTAAAGCCAAAGTGTGTGCCATCAAAAAAGCAGTGCCTGGAAATGGTCTCTGTTCCAGCGGCTCGAGTCCTAACACTGTATGATGGGAGTAAGCTCCTGTCACTTGCCTCAGCTTGTCCACCTAACAGTTTGAAAGCATGTTCTATGTGAGTAGGTAACACTTCAATGGGGGGGGGGATGTTGGGACTCCCTGCAGTCAGTCCGGTTTCCGCTGGTCTTGACCTTCCTGGGGGGGCCCGATTTGTAAGGGAGCGGGGGGGGGGGGGGGGGCTAGGATGACCCTGCAGAAAAAGCCACCTGACTTTCTTTCTGGTGCAAAGCCAGCTCTCCCTCCTGTGGTGCACTTTGGGAAGCATACAAGCATGTCTTACGACAGAGCTGGTAAACTGACAGCCAAACTGCTACTCTGCAATAGCACTGCAGTCTCCTGGCTAAATGAAACAATGCCATGTGCTAATAATAATAAACTATGGTGTTGAAGAAGGCACCTGTGTATTCCTTGGACAGCAAAAGTGACCAACAAGAAAGTACTGGAGTGCATAACACCAGATATGTCACTAGAAGGAAAAAAAATCACAAAATTACGTCTCAATTATTTTGGCCATGTCATGCACAGACTCACTGGAGAAAGTAATTATGTTTGGAAGAGTTTGCTGTAAAAGGAAACAGGCTGCCAAAGAGTATGGTAGCTAGACACTGTCAAAGCTGACACAACCAGAGAATAGAAAAACTCAAAGGAATAGTGCAAGATTGGAAGAAATTGAAAGACATAACTGAACAGTAACATCATCATCATCTGGGATTGACTGGATTTTCTTTGATTAAGTGGCAAGACATTTAGCACATCCTATGAGATTACTATATAAAAGATAGGTGCCCTCCTTTTATCTCCAGGGAGAATTATACTGTGCCTCCTATGCTAATGTATCCAGTAACTTGCTCAGATACAAAGATCATTTATTTCTGTCCATTAATGGTCCTTTCCCGAATTACCTCTGACTAAATAGCTAAATAAGTATGTACATTTATATTTATTCCATTCTTACATTTTACACTTACATTTTTTCAATTTTGCTCCACTCTAGTATATTACAGCATATAAATGTAATAAATGTATACAGCAATAGCAATAGCACTTATCTACCACTTCACAGTGCTTCACAGCCCTCTCTAAGCAGTATATAGAGTCAGCATATTTCCCCCAATAATTTGGGTCCTCATTTTACCAACCTCGGAAGGATGGAAGGCTGAGTCAATCTTGACCAGGAAAGGAATGTGTGTGTAGGAGGGGGGAGATGTGAGAAGGGGATCTGTATGTGGGGGTAGTGCTAAATTTAAACCACAATGGGTATAAAAAGGGACAACAGTCACATATTGACAGGTGATCTCTTGCTTAAAGGGAATTCATCCAGTATGCAATAAAGATTTTTAGCTAGCCATGCTGTGTCAAGCATCTAGGTAGTTTCTGTTGAGTTTGAACCAGGGAATCTGCCAATGGGATTCCAATGGAGATATGTATAACAAAAGTCATCTTTGCTCTCTCCTGTAAATAGCTCAGTCTGAGGGCTAATCTTAAGAAAAGAGGATACTTCCAAATGGGGCCTTTGAGTCCAGTCCTTCACCCTTTTTCCTCTTCCTGAACAACCACCACCTCTTTGTCCTTGCCAAAATGTGGCATTGTAATTCTTATCTTTTAAGGTATAAAACACATGCCTGTAATTGCAAGCCTAACTTACAGATTATAACTTCTTATGATATACAGTGCTCCTTATGGTCCTGAGCATAAGAGGGTTGGACTTCAGTCTCCAGCTTCTTTATTTAAAAGTCTCAAATGGTAAATCTGGGAAAGACCGTAATAAGATTGCCGACATTGATGCTAGTTATTTTCCTCTTAGGTCTAAGCATTTATTTCTACCAGAATGTTGGGTATTTTTTTCTGTTACCTCTAGTGATACAAGAAAATCAATCATCATCAAGTTTCTATCACACCTTGTGTTAAAGTTGAATGAACAGCCCGGTAGATTTGCAAGCACCGATCTTCCTTCTTCTGTGCATGTTGATGACATTTGCAGTGCTGAAAATGACTATTTCTCATTTTTATTTGTGCCTCTGTGCATCTGTTCTTGGCTTCATGGTGCAGAAAGATGTAACTGTTCTTAGAAAGATGCTGGGAACAGTTTTGCAGGATCTGATAGGTTGCACTGCAGGAAGGCTCAGCTAGACAAAGGGTCTCAGCTGTTACACAGTTGTTTGGCTGCTCAAAGGACATAACTTGAAATCCTCCTGTTTGGAAAAAAAGAAGGAATGTCATTTTATACAGTATATACATACCGCAGCCAACTTCTCACCTCATACTGTTGGTTACCAAAGAAACCTTCCAAATTTCATATTCAATTTGGTTTCAAGTGAGTCAAGTTCAATAATTCCTTCATAATTATCTAGATTGCATCAATTAAGAGCATTAAGAACAGCTGAAGAATGATGTAGACCTGCTTCACTTAAAAGCAAGGAATTCTTGGTAATAATACAGTATATTATAAAACTCTTACACAAGTCTTTAAAAACTTTGCAAGGATAAGCTGGTATCTGAACTTGATTAATATTATTAGAGTTTTTTTGTGGCACAGAATCTCTTTTAAATTTATTTCAACGGGGCAAGAAGAACTGATCATGAAGATATCATATAGGTAATAGTACTAATGTTAAAATGATAGTAAATGACAGTAAATAAATTATAATCTTTCTAGATTATGCAGGCACGGTTGTAAGCATACTGCTACATTTAGATGAACAAGTCCAATTAGTAACAGGTTTTTGAAGAAATTGGTAAAATTACCCAATCATCTTTTACAATAAACTTTTTTGATTATTTATTTCATATTTCCTGAGAAATATAAATGAATTCATTGGTTTAATGTGTTATTAATAGTTAGATTAGTCACTGTAAAACACTGAAAATGGGGCAACATCAGAGCAATCAACATTCCATGACTCCATGAAATACAACTTTTATTCAATTAATTCAATTAACTATATTAAAAGTATGTGCATTTGTTCTGGTTAAAAATTAAACACAACAGTAGAGTGTTTTTGGAAAAAATCTACAAAAATATTCAACTGTGAACATCATTTATTAGCTATATTAACAATATTCTTACCAACAGAATACTTGATCTGTACAAATATCATTTTGCTTTGAAATTTTAAATATGGCTAGTTAAAATGTCTGTATTAAGAAATTCACATATAAACATGATGTGTGATACTTTTATTCCATTTTAATTATTTTTTATTTTCTGTTATTTCTTAATTTTTTAAAAAATTACTTTGATGTTTTGATTCTTTTTTATGTATAAATCTTATTAAAATTTTTAAAGAAAATATAAAAATCAACACAAACTAATACAGAATGAACAAAGAGAGAAAGAAAAAAAAGCAAAATTACAGAAAGAAAAGATAAAATGAACGCTTTTGATTTCCTCTGTAGTAAATATAAGAATTACAAAATTGTATCTTGCTCTAGGATTATAAAAAAGCTCATTTACTTCTATTATCTAATTTCTTTCTAATCATCAAAACCACATCATGAGTGCATTTTTTATGTTTAATGCAAAAAGCATTAAGTCAGTCACAAATTTAGATATTGCCTTTTCTCTAATCAAGAAAGACAATTTTAGCCATCTTTGCAAATTTCATCATCTTCACCAACCATTCCTCCATTGCTGTACATTTGAACATATAACAATCTCACTACAGCTACCATATATAGAAACGAAGTTCCAGGAAGAAGTTTTTATTTCTCAGTAAAAAGCAAGCAAATAACAAACATAACAGAGATACTAATTGTTCAGGTATTCATCCTGCAATCAATTTTTCATCCCTGTTTTCTAAAGAAGCTTTCAAGTCTCAAGTTCTTTTATTCTAATTTAGAACTAAAGGAGCCTTGATGTCATCACAGTCCATCAACAATGGTAACAATGTTTGTTATCATTTAAAACATTTTCATAGTTATTCAGTATAAATGGGCGTTGGTAGAAGTTACCCTGAACGCCCTTTCTATCTATGCTGCGAGAGAGCCCAGGATGGGTTGACTCCTTCCTATGACGTCATTTAGCTGAGTCTGTACTAAGATATAAAAGCCAGCCCCCGGGAGAGACCCCAGCTTTGGCGAAGATACTTGACAGACTGAAAGGTGTCTCTGAAAGCCCAAAATAAATACAGAAATACGTCTTACCCTCTCCGGACGAATCAAGGGAGGGGCTGGGCTCTCTCGCAGCATAGATAGAAAGGGCGTTCACGGTAACTTCTACCAACGCCCATTCTCCTCCATGCTGCATCGAGAGCCCAGGATGGGACAAACCAAAGCTTGCATGTCCACGGGCGGGTCCTCGTCTGGCTCATCACACCGACTGTGGAACCACTCGTTGAAGCACCCGTCTGCCGAAGGCTGCATTCGCCGAGGCAAAAGGATCCAGATGGTAGTGTCTGATGAAAGGAGACGGGGATGTCCACGTGGCCGGACGACAAATCTCCTCCAAGGATGCTTGGGTCGCCCAGGCAGCAGAAATGGCCGCGCTTCTGGTAGAGTGCGCCGTCAGACCTCGGGGAACCGGAAGGGCCGCAGCTTTGTAGGCCTGCTCAATGCAAGACCTGACCCACCTGCTAATAGTAGGAGAAGAGGCCTTGTGCCCCAAGTGAGAAGGGAAAAAGGAAACAAACATGGCTTCCAACTTCCTGAAGGAGGAAGTGCGCTTAATGTATATTCTAAGAGCCCTTCTTACTTCTAGCGTGTGCCACTGCCGCTCTAAGTCATGGTGCGGGAGAGGACAGAAGTCAGGCAAAACAATGTCCTGGGACCTGTGAAACCAGGTGTTAACCTTCGGAATAAATGAGGGGTCCAGACGAAGAACAACCCTATCATTGTGAAAGGAACAAAGGTCCTGTCTGATGGAAAGAGCAGCAAGCTCGGAGACCCTCCTGGCAGAAGTGATGGCAACAAGGAACACTACCTTCAGAGTCAGGAAACGGAGAGAGACTGTTCTAAGGGGTTCAAAGGGGGGCTTTGTAAGGGCATTAAGGACCAAATGAAGGTCCCAGGAAGGATACCTGTGAACCACCATAGGGTGCAGGTTGGAAGGCCCTTTTAAAAACCTCCTGACTGAAGTGTGATGGGATAAGGACGGAAGCGAACCCCATGAAAGGACTGAGGAGAGGGCCACAACCTGCCTGCATAAGGTGTTGAGGGCCAAACCTTTCTCCAGCCCATGCTGAAGGAAGCTAAGAACTTCTGCCAACTGGGCTGAAGCAAGAGAAAGACCCTCCCTGAGGCACCATCAGGAAAAAGCCTTCCAGGTGGTATCATAGATGCGCCTTGTAGAAGGTTTGCGAGACGCCAGGATAGTGAGGATGACCCTTTCTGGGAGATCAGCCTCCTCTAGCCGCTGGCACTCAAGTGCCACACAGTCAGCTTGAACCACTGGGGCTCTGGGTGGAGCAGGGCCCCCTGGTGAAGGGAGATTAGATGGGCTGGGATCCTCCAAGGAGAAGCCACCGATAAGTTGACCAGGTCCGCAAACCAGGGCCTCCTTGGCCAATAGGGTGCCAGGAGGAGGAGCTCCGCACGTTCCTCCAACATCTTCCGAATTACTGCCTGAATGATGGGAAGTGGGGGAAAGGTGTAGAGGAGACCCTTGGACCATCTGCACCAAAGAGCATTGGTCCCCTCCACTCCCTGGCAAAGAAACCTGGTGAGGAATCTGGTGACTTCGGCGTTTTGAAGAGTGGAGAAAAGACCCACCTCCGGTGTTCCGAATCTGAGGGAAAGATCCCTGAATAGAGATGGAGGAATGGACCATTCTGCCTGGTTGACTAGGCTCCTGCTGAGCCAGTCGGCCTGGGACTTGTCGACCCCGGAGATGTGGTCTATCGAGATCGACAATAGGTGTTTCTCTGCCCATAACCCCAAACGTAGAGCCTCTCTCATGAGGGCTTTGGACCTCATCCTCCCTTGCCGGTTGACATGAGCCTTTGTGGCCATGTTGTCCGTAAGGACTAGAACATGAGAGCCGGTCACTGATTGTCTGAAATGCTTGAGAACCAGAAAAATGGCTCAGAGCTCTAGCCAATTTATGGAAAGGGTCTGCTCTGATCTGGACCAAATGCCCTGAGCTATCTGGCCCTGCATATGGGAACCCCAACCCAGGAGGCTGGCATCAGTGGTTATCACTAGCCTGTCTGGGTCCCTGAACAGGAGTCCCCTCCAGATTGACGGGGAATGCCACCAATTGAGAGATCTCCGGATTTGTGGCAGGAGTCAGACCTTGATAGATGAGTGGCTGGTTCCTGCTCGTTGGTAGGGAAGCAGGAACCATTGGAGGGCTCGGGAGTGGAGCCGAGCCCATGGGACGATGCCAATACAGGAAACCATCTCCCCCAGAAGTTTGGGCAGCAGCGACAGGGGGAAAATTTGATGTTGCTGGATCTGGCTGATGATCTCTGCAAGGCTCTTTCCATGAGCTGGGGACAGGAAAACCTGGCACGACATGGTATTGATGACTGCTCCCAAGTGTTGCAATTTGGTTGTAGGAGAGAGCTGGCTCTTTTTGGTGTTGATGGAAAATCCGTGGCTCTGGAGACATGACAAGGTAATTTGCAGATCCCGATGGGTCGCAAGTGTTAAGCCTGGATTCCCCAACAGGTGTTAAGGAAAACAAACTAAACAGAACGTGCAGCGAAGTCAGATAGGAAGACAGGTAAATGTGTGAGATAAGTTTTCTAGTTAACACGCAGTAAAAATACAGATACGCTTGTGCTATCAAAATTATAATTTATTCCATTTAAGAATTATAGTATAGTCATTATAAACAGTCCATTAGTCATATACCAAATTCAGTCAAGTCTTGTCGAGGATACTCTAATTGCAAAGTCCTTGTCGAATAGCCAGTGTCAGTACACATATAATAAATCTGTCCAAAACTTATCTTCTCTCCGTTGAGAAATATCTTCAAAGTAATCCAACACTTCTTCTCCTCCCCGATCCAGCACACAGTCTTCAATAAGCCAGCCAGTAAGAGCCAGAGAGTGCCTTGCTGCTTATATAGTACTTTTACAGCTGCACCCTTAATTACATTCCTTTAGCTTAAAGTCACATACACTTTATCTGACAAACCATGATTCATCATTTTATTATCTTTACCCAAAACAGTTAGGGTAAACAATGTTATCCCTAACAGCAAGGATGGAAGAGGAAAGAATCAAAATGTCGTACAAGTAGCATTGGATCC